CTATCCCAGCTGGAACACCTTCCTGCCCACTCTTTCCTCTGCTGCCTGAGTTGGACATTATCAAGAGGAAGGCAGCTCACCTGAGGGTGGTAGACCCTCAGGGACTTGACCTTGTGAAGGGGAAGCAGGACACGGATGAGGAACATCTTGTGCTCCCGGGGAGAGAGATACTCACTTCTGCTTCTCTGCCTTGTATTGTTGTGTGCAGTCATCAAACAGCTTCTGATTCATTTCCATAAACAGCTTCAGGGCATTGTAGATCAGTCCATGGATTGTCCTACCACCAGGAAGAAAGATGAGTAGGAGGCCAGAGCCTGCCCTTAGTGCGAGGAACTCAATTTGTTCTCTCACAGGAGTATCTCTGCTAAGAGCTTTGTCATTTACTATGTCCAGTACACAAACCTCTATGCAGTATCGGAAGAGAGCTCTGGCCAAATCACCTGGTTTGAGACTGGCATTTCATGGTCTTCACAAATATTGGTCCACGTGTCCATCCTTCCCTCACCCCATGCTCTTCACCCCATCCTTCCCTCACCCCTGCCTACCTCCCATCCTTTCCCACTCTCTAACCCACACTAATGGCCTCCCAGCATCATGATGGGCATGTAGATGCAGCATGACGGACTGCATCTGCACCACAGTGTGCTTGCTTTTAGCAGAAAAGTCTTTTCAAAACCCTGAGAGTTTTTTTTTTTTTTTTTTTTAAGACGGAGTCTCACTCTGTTGCCCAGGCTGGAGTGCAATGGCATGATATTGGCTCACTGCAACCTCCACCTCCCAGGATCAAGTGATTCTCTTGCCTCAGTCTCCCAAGTAACTAGGACTACAGGCATCTGCCACTACGTCCAGCTAATTTTTGTATTTTTAGTAGAGATGGGAGTTTCACTATGTTGGGCAGGCTGGTCTCAAACTCCTGACCTCGTGATCCACCCGCCTCGCCAGCCTCCCAAAGTGCTGGGATTACAGGCGTGAGCCACCGTGCCTGGCCTAAAACCCTGGGATTCTTTACACAGACTCTCAAAGAGGGTCACATCAGCTTCTCACTGCATAGAATTACATCTCCAAAGCTGTGATAGGACCTGCAGAATAGCTGACCCCAAGGAGTGGTATAACACAGGCCGCTGCCCTGCTGTTTGGTATCACAGAGATCTTGGTACGCAGGCTTTTTTTTGCTCCAGTCAGCCCCTCAAGGTCCTATCAATATGTAGGGGACATCAGCCCCACTTGCTGGGTGACCAGGTGAGACCCCTGGCTCTTTAGTTCTTCCATACCCTCAAAGTTTCCCAAACTGGATCCCCACCACCCAGCCCCACCCCAGCGCCTTACTTGTTCCAGTGGCTCTTGGAGTTCCTGTAGAGTGCAGGGAACATGATGGGGAGGACTCGGGCAGCATTGTCACTTATCAGGCTCATGATGTACTCATTGTTCCAGTAATAGAGAGCACGCTCTGCCACCTGGTGGAAAGAGGCGGACTCGGTGGGTGCTGCCCGTTTCACTCAAGACCTTCTCAGTTTCTGGCAGGGGTTGGGATGTGCTGGGTTGGAGTCTCACCTGGAAATGGGGGCTAGAGACACACTTGGCCAGCTGGCGGAAGAGGGGTTCCATCACTTTGCTGAACTCGGAAGGTTCAATGACGTCCAGAATCTCCTCCAGCTCATTCAAAAACATCACCTCCTTGGGGCTGTGGGTCTTAGGCCAAAACTTGAGAAGTCCCACAATTACCTGGGAGACAAGGAGGGCATGGGGATGAAAATTCTTTGCACCTGCCTACGTCTCCAGAAAGTTTTCCTACCTGCTCTCTCCCCCACCCTGGTGGGCACAGTTTGGGTAATCTCAGCCAGCTGCCCGTTTCTTTGCCTTAGATCTGTTTCCTAGGTGTATATAGGTTTCGCTTCCCCTTCAGAGAGGAAACCATGTTACCAGTCAGGTCACAGCCCTCCTGAGCACCCCCTTATGGCACCCCCAGTAGGTACAGACTGGCAAGTGATGCTGACGACAGTAAGAGGTGGGCCTTGGGGCCCGGAAGGGGAATTACCGGCTCAGTCAGACTGCTCTCCTTCTCCAGGAATTGTACCACACAGTATGCCAGCTGCAAAAGTGTGAGGTAGAAAGGAGGTGAGGTGTAGGTCCTAGAAGTTCTCAGAGAAGTCAGTGATAGAAGCAAGATCCCAGAAGGGAAGGGGAGGTGGAGGGAAGGAATTATCCCCCCTGCTCCCTATGCTTCCCCTATCCCAGCTGGAACACCTTCCTGCCCACTCTTTCCTCTGCTGCCTGAGTTGGACATTATCAAGAGGAAGGCAGCTCACCTGAGGGTGGTAGACACTCAGGGACTTGACCTTGTGAAGGGGAAGCAGGACACGGATGAGGAACATCTTGTGCTCTTCTTTAAGGGGCAGGGCAAAGCCATTGATGATGCTAGGAATTAAGGGACATTTGTTAGGACCAAAGGGTCAGATCCAAGTTCAGTGCACCAATCCTCCCAACCTTTTTCAGGCATCTGTGCCCCCACCCAGCCTCTCACCTGCCCAGGATCTCCAGGAGCTCAGCAATCCCGTTGTGATGCTCCGTCTCATAGATGAACCTGAGGGAAGAAAAATGGCTCTTGACAACCCCTGATGTCCCTCCAGCATTCTGTACAGTCCCCCCACCTCCCTGCTCCCACCCCACCTCAGTAGCAGAATGCTTTGCTCCTAAGCCTGGGCTCCTGGCCTCACCTGTAGAAGATGTGGTTGATCTGCCTACGGATATAAGCCCGGAGCCCCAAAAACTTGCCATAGATGCGGTGCAAAATGGTCTTGAGGAAGTCCCGCTCTCGAGGATCCTCACTGTCAAATAGGTCTAGGAGCTAGGGGCATGAGGGAGGGAAAGCAGCCAGTGAGGCAGCAGCCAGGGAAGGTGGGGCCCCGGTGACATAGGTCCTGCCAGGGGAAGTGCAGAGGTCCCCTGGAATGGGGGCCAGCAAGTCTTAGAAAGCAGAGTGATTCTATTGTATTGCTGATTCTATTGTATTTGTACTGAGACTTCCAAAGTGATGCCTTCATATTGACTGGAGAGAGGTACTCTGTTGCTTTTGTTTCCTACCATTATGCTGTTAGTTTCTTAAGGCTAGAGTAGGGTTTTTTGTTTGTTTCTTTGTTTGTTTGTTTTTTAACCCTTTATAGCCTCCTCATACCAGACATGGATGAAACCCAATATATTCAGCATAAGGGGGAAGAGCCACTGGGAGACAGATGAGTGGG